AAACACACGACACAGGGAGAATCCCCACAGTCCCGGGTGAAGAGAATGAGTCCGTCTCGTGGAGCGGTGGTTCAGAACCATGGATAGCACCGTGACCCTCCCACCCCATCTGCCTCACTTGTCACACAAGGAGGGCGGCATTTGAACACAGGAGCCGTCTGCCAAGTCTCAGCACGGTAGGTTTTTTTTTTTTTTTTCTGAGACAGAGTCTCACTCTGTTGCCCGGGCTCGAGTGCCGTGGTATCACCCTAGCTCACAGCAACCTCAATCCCTGGGGTCAAGCGATCTCCTGCCTCAGCCTCCCGAGTAGCTGGCACTACAGGCATGCGCTACCATGCCGCGCTATTTTTCCTATGTGTTTTTAGTTGGCCAATTAATTTCTTTCTATTTTTAGTAGAGATGGGTTCGCTCTGCTTAGGCTGGTCTCGAACCTTGAGCGATCCTCTCGCCCCGCCTCCCAGAGTGCTAGGATTACAGGTGTGAGCCACCGCGCCCGGCCTGCATAGTGGGTTTTACAGGCGACTCAGAGCACCGCGCTTTGGGCTTGGGCGTGTAGATGGGGAGGAGGGAGGGAAGGAGCAAGGACCTTGTACTCACAGAGTGCGGATCTTCGGCATGTGGTTGAAGCTGGTGACCCAGGATGCGGCTGATGTTGTTGTTGTTGAGGGTGCTGCGGAGACAGGACACAGCGACATGGTCAGCCGGGAACTCGGGAGTGCGGGGAGGCACGGGGAGGCCAGGACGCCTGTGGAGGGGGAAGGGCGCGTGGGACTGCAAGAGACCACCACGAGTCAGCAGCAGTGCCAGCCAGCGGGGCAGCTGCAGACAAGTGGCGGGCTCCGGATGACAAGAAGCGTCCACTGACTCCTGACCCAGTGGGCCGCTCTCCCGCTGCTGCCTCCTGGGACTTGCTTACCACCTCGAGTAACGACATCGCTTCCCGAAATCCTACTGTGTGCTGAGCACTGTGTGCGGAGTAAAAATATCACTCCTGAAACCTACGGTGTGCTTGAGTGCATTATAATCTCTCCTCTTCTTAACACCTATGACCCAATTACGTACTGCTGTCCTCAGTTTAGAGAGGAGGAAAGAGACATAGTGATTTTGCTTAGAAGACGCACAGGTCTAAAAGGTGCCGAGCGTAGCGATGCATGAGGAGGCTAGCCACAGAGAGTCGAGTAACTTTCCAAGACCACAGCGGCTCACTATGGGAGATGGGACTCGAACTCAGCAATTTCTAACCACAATCTCCGTGCCTGTCCATCGCATATATGGCCTCATGCATGATGCATTAAATAGGTTATTCTGTATTGCCTTGGCATCTTCTGAGTCTTCAAGCACATCTTATCTCGAGCCAGTCTGCGAGGACAGGGACTACAGTCTCCTCCCTCTCCGTGCATCTTCATGACCACGATGCATATCCTACGGTGCAATGGGGCACTGACTGGTACTTTCGTACAGGGACAGCAAGGACAAAGGTGTGCTCCATAAATGAGCCAGGATAAATAAGGATGCTGAAGAATGAAATTATACAGGCAAGCTGACCCTTCTGCAGGGGCCTTGTTATGGAAGCCCAGGAAGTGGGCCACCAAGGCAGCGTCTGCAGAGCTGGAATTGCTAGATGGCAGAGGGCCTTTAGGGTCAGTTCAGTGATGACCTGGATGGAGAGACAACACCACGTGCGCAACCTGCAACAGATTCCTTCTCCAGGCCCCAGTCCACTGCGGGACTCCAGTGATCACGTTTCCCTTGACCCAGACTATCCCAACCTCCCACCCCATCCGGCCAATCATCATTTGTTTGCCCATAAGGCCAGGACAAGTCTGTTGCACAAAGCACAGGATGTAATTTCTTTTTTCTCCCTCCTCCCCGGTATTATATTGTGCACTCACTATGTGTACGGCACTATGTGAGGTTGTATAAGTGCGTTAAAAGAATGAACCAGCTAAAATCTACCTATGCCTGCGTCGGCCTGCTTGTAACTTCACTATGCACCGATGAGGTATGTACATTTTGAAGTGAACTAGTCAGCCTGTTTGGTTTTCATGTGGCTTTCTGTGTGTGTTGGGGTGTATGTGTGCGTACCACCCTGTCTCTGTCCCTCCAGAAGCTTCAGGAAACTCCATCAGAAACCAGGAAGGGACTATGTCACTCCCCATCAGAAGCAGTCTCTGCGGCCCTTGTCGGAGAGGACTTACTTGGGGTGAGGTCTATGCCCCCACCCCTTCCTGCACTGCATTAGCAAATGCCTTCCAGGGCAGAAGGATGCCTTATTTCCCTTCTACCCCATTTCCTCAGACTTCCTGGGCTCAGACTGGGGTGCTATGAAGTTGGGGGTGTGGACTGACCAGTCAGTACAAAACAATCTGAGCATCCTCGCGTCTGCCAAAGGCAGACGAGCAAGAAGCCTTTGCAGAGAAGGGCTTCTTTTGGACCCGACGGCAGCCCCTCCCCAAAACTTCTAGGTGGAACTTCCCAGCCAGCTCTATTTAGCTATGCAATGCACGGGCAGTTTACGCAGGCTTCAACCGTAACTGCTCCCGCAGCCAGTCGGCAGCAATGACTTTATGAATGTATTACTACACTGATATTTAAATGTCAGCCGTAATGAGAGCTATAAAACATTTACGATAATAGCAATTATTCCAGAACCCAAATGACTAAACACAGTATCCAGTACTTCATCGATTGCTGCTGGGGCTGGCCAGGTCCAGGGATGTCAGGGGTGGTAACCTCTCGGATGCGATCCTACGGCAGCTATGTTTCTGTTTTCCCATAAACACGATATTTGATTCTAGTCTGGCAGCTTGCCCACGCACACAGCACTGAACTCTCTCTGGTTCTCGTGCCCCCGCCCTAAAGTAGGCCTAAGTTTTCGAATGAGAAATCCGTGTTCTAACCCCAGCAGCCCAGAGTTGGGCGTGCCCTTGCAGGCGCAACCCTGTTAGATTCCCGCTCCGCCACTTCACAGCCTCTGCAACGATGGGAAGTTTTCTTAAATCTCATTAAGTTCTCCTCATTGTAACGTTGGGATAATGACAAGCTCCGCTTTTCTCCTAGAGCTTAGGGGAGTAAATGGATGATTACTAAATAATCGCCAAGCACTTAACCGAGAGCGAGTGCATGCCAGACAGGCCCTGGGCGAAGGGCACTACATACATTGTGCATCTCATTTTATCTCCCATTACCAGAACCCCGAGGCCAAAAGGGACCTTCGGTTTATCACTCCCATTCCTCATGAATGAACCACAACCTGTAGGTGCAGCAAGTTTGAATTCCATACACGCCTGACTCCAAGAACGAGGCCCCTGACTACTTTCTTTTGCTGCTGTAACAGGTGACCCACGGAATTTAGTGTTTTAAAGCAACACACGTTGCTTCTCGACAATTCGGAGTCATGAATCTAAAAATGGTCCACAGGGCTACGAATCTCTCCAGGGCTCCATGGGGAGGATTCGTTTCCTGCCTCTTGTTGCTTCATGTCTCCTTGGCTCATGGCCCCTCCTGGCATCACTCCACAACCTCTTGCATGTGTTGTCACACATCTCCTGCTATTCACTGTCGGCCTGCGTCCTATGATAGAGCCCTTGGATTACATTTACCGGCTACCTGACCAGTCCCAGGATAACCCCCCCCACCTCTGGACCCTTAATTTAGTCAATCTGCCAAACCTTTCCATGTAAGGTGGGCATATCATAGGTTCTGCAGATGAGAACGTGGACATCTCGGGGGGCCGTTATCCAGCTTGGGAACAAAGCACATACACAACTCAGCACACTGCCTCGGCTCACAGCCAACATCCAGTGTTCTTAGTACTGCTATTAGGCTTGTGTTTGTTTAGTTGTTAGCTCTTTTACAAATACAACCCACGTTTTCATATCTCATTTTGATATTTGTCGCAGCATCCGAATCGGCATTATTACACCATTTCATGAGATAACAATTCGACAGCTAAGAAAAGTTATGAGAATTACTGGAGGCAAAACACATGAAGTTCCTTGGTGGATTCAGGACTCCTTCTTGTCTTCACCCCAAACCGCGCCCGACGGACTCCCTTGCCCCACTGCCTCCTAACTTTGCGTTCTAGTTGTCATCTAGTATTGGATAAGTCCTGCCATTCTATCACCCAGCACCACAAAGTGAAAACATCTGGTGTAAGCCTCCTGGTGCCTCTGTGCTATACACCGGGTCCTGAGATGAACCAACAGAAAGAATATTCAAGGCGGGTCTCTGACCAACAGCACCCTCCTGCGCCCCAGTCGGATGCGGCCCATGCTAAGTATGGGACCACCCTGTTACCTCATCCTCATTTACCTCCCATCCTACTGGGGTGCTATTGTCCCAAGGACTGAGCCTTCCACCTCACCTGCCTCTGCTCCTTTTGAGATACCTTTGAGAAAATGGCTTTCCCCCCAAATAATCCAGGTAGTGGTTAGAGGTTTTTCCCTAGAGTAAATTACTCATAAATTCAGCACTTCCATCCAAGTTTCAAGCTTAAGTTCCAGGGTCAAATTAATTCTATACATTCAGAGACTGTCCTTGTTTTCCCCTTTTCATATCAGTACAAGCTACGAATGGGCATTTCAGCATCAAGTAGCAAACAAAGCCCTTCCCCTCCACCCCAGTGCGATTAAAAGAACAGTCCTAGCCTACCTCCCCATTTCCTATCTCCTGGGCTCAAGCGATCCTCCTGCCTCAGCCTCCCGAGTAGCTGGCACTACAGGCATGCGCCACCGTGCCCCGCTCATTTTTCCTATGTGTTTTTAGTTGGCCAATTAATTTCTTTCTATTTTTAGTAGAGATGGGTTTCGCTCTTGCTTAGGCTGGTTTTGAACCTTGAGCGATCCTCTCGCCCCGGCCTCCCAGAGTGCTAGGATTACAGGCGTGAGCCACCGCGCCCGGCCTGCACAGTGGGTTTTACAGGCGACTCAGAGCACCGCGCTTTGGGCTTTGAGCGTGTAGATGGGGAGGGGGGGAAGGAGCAAAGACCTTGTACTCACAGAGTGCGGATCTTCGGCATGTGGTTGAAGCTGGTGACCAGGATGCGGCTGATGTTGTTGTTGTTGAGGGTGCTGCGGAGACAGGGACACAGAGACATGGTCAGCCGGGAGCTCGGGGAGTGCGGGGGAGGCACGGGGAGGCGCCAGGACGCCTGTGGAGGGAGGGGAAGGGCGCGTGGGACTGCGAGAGCCACCACGAGTCAGCAGCAGTGGCCGGCCAGCGGGGCAGCTGCAGACAAGTGGGCGGGGCTCCGGATGACAAGAGCGTCCACTGACTCCTTGACCCAGTGGGGCCCTCCTTCCCGCTGGTGCCCTCCTGGGACTTGCTTACCCACCTCGAGTAATGACATCGCTTCCTGAAATCCTACTGTGTGCTGAGCACTGTGTGCGGAGTAAAAATATCACCTCCTGAAATCCTACGGTGTGCTTGAGTGCATTATAATCTCTCTCTTTCTTAACACCTATGATGCCAATTACGTACTGCTGTCCTCAGTTTAGAGAGGAGGAAAGAGATATAGTGATTTTGCTTAGAAAGACGCACAGGTCTACAAAGGTGCCGAGCCTGTACGATGCATGAGGAGGCTGAGCCACAGAGAGGTCGAGTAACTTTTCCCAAGGACCACAGCGGCTCACTCTGGAGATGGGACTCGAACTCAGCAATTTCTAACCACAATCTCCGTGCCCTGTCCATCACATATATGGCCTCATGCATGATGCCATTTAAATAGGTTATTCTGTATTGCCTTGGCATCTTCTGAGTCTTCAAGCACATCTTATCTCGAGCCAGTCTGCGAGGACAGGGACTACGTCTCCTCTCTCCCGTGCATCTCCATGACCACGGTGCAACTCCTACGGTGCAATGGGGGCACTGACTGATACTTTCGTACAGGGAACAGCAAGGACAAAGGTGTGAGCTCCATAAATGAGCCAGGATGAAATATGGATGCTGAAGAATGAATTTAGGCTACAGGCAAGGCTGACCCTTCTGCAGGGGCCTGTTATGGAAGCCTAGGGAAGCGTGGCCGCCAAGGCAGCGTCTGCAGAGCTGGAAATGCTAGATGGCAGGAGGGCCTTTAGGGTCAGTTCAGTGATGACCTGGATGGAGAGACAACACCACGTGCACAACCTGCACAGATTCCTTCTCCAGGCCCCAGTCCACTGCGGGACTCCAGATCACGTTTCCCTTGACCCAGACTATTCCTCAACCTCCCACCCCCACCCCGGGCCAATCATCATTTGTTTGGCCAATAAGGCCAGGACGAAGTCTGTTTGCACAAAAGCACAGGATGTAATTCTTTTTTCTCCCTCCCTCTGGTATTTATTGTGCACCTACTATGTGTACGGCACTATGTGAGGTGTATAGTGTGGTTAAAAGGAATGAACAGCTCAAATCTACCTTGCCTGCGTCTGCCTGCTTTGTAACTTCACTATGCACCGATGTAGGTATGTAGCATTTTATGAAGTTGAACCTAGTCAGCTGTTTGGTTTCATGTGGCTTTTCTGTGTGTGTGTGTGTATGTGTGTGTGTGTGTGTGTGTGGTATCCACCCTGTCTCTGTCCATCCAGAAAGCTTTCAGGAAACCTCATCAGACAACAGGAAGGACTTGTCACTCCCATCAGAACAGGCTCTGCGCCTTGTCGGAGAGCTTCTTGGGGGTGAGGTCTATGCCCCCCACCTTCTGCACTGCATTACAAATGCTTCCAGGGCAGAAGGGATGCCTTATTTCCCCTTCTAGCCATCTCAGACTTCTGGGCTCCAGACTTGGGGTGTATGAAGTTGGGGGTGTGGACTGACCATCAGACAAAAAAATCTGAGCATCCTCCTCGTCTCGCAAAGGCAACGAGCAAGAAGCCTTTGCAGAGAAGGGGCTTCTTTTGGACCATGCCCAGCCCCTCAACTCTAGGTGGACTTCCCAGCCCAGCTCTAATTTAGCTGCATGCACGGTGCAGTTTACGCAGGGCTTCAACCGTAACTGCATCCGGCAGCAGTCCGGCAGCAATGACTTATGAATGTATTACTACACTGATATTTAAATGTGAGTCGTAATGAGAGCTATAAAACATTTACGATAATAGCAATTATTCCAGAACCCAAATGACTAAACACAGTATCCAGACTTTCATGATTTGCTGCTTGGGGCTGGCCGGTCCAGGGATGTCAGGGGGTTGGTAACCTCTCGGATGCCGATCCCTACGGCAGCTATGGTTTTTGTTTCCTCAATAAACACAGATTTTATTTGATTTCTAGTCTTGGCAGCTTTTGCCCATGCACACAGCACTGAGCTCTCTCTGGTTCTCGTGCCCCCGCCTAAGTAGCTAGTTTTCGATGGAGAAATCGTTGTTCTAACCCCAAGGCAGCAGAGTTGTGGGCGTGGGCCTTGCAGGCGCAGACCTGGTTTAGATTCTGGCCCCGCCACTTACAGCCTCTGCAACGATGGGTAAGTTTCTTAATCTCATTAAGTTTCCTCTTTTGTAATGTGAGGATAATAAGAGTACCGCTCTCGTAGAGCTTTAGTGGTGATTAAATGAGATGTTACTAATAATCGCCAGCATTAACCGAGAGCTGAGTGCATGCCAGACAGGCCCTGGGCGAAGGGCACTACTACATTGTGCCATCTCATTTTATTCCTCCCATTACCCCACGAGGCAGGGACTTTGGTTATCACCTCCATCTCATGAATGAACCAACTGGTGGTGCCAAGGTTTGAATCCAAGCACGCCTGACTCCAGGAACGAGGCCTGTACTACTTTCTTATTGCTGCTGTAACAGGTGACCACGGATTTAGTGGCTTAAAGCAACACACGTTTGCTCTCTGACAACTCGGAGGTCAGAAATCTAAAATGAGTTCACAGGGCTACGTATCTTTTAGGGGCTCCATGGGGAGGATTTGTTTCCTTGCCTCTTGTGGCTTTCATGTCCCTTGGCTCATGGGCCCCTCCTGGCATCACTCCAACCTCTTGCTGTGTTGTCACATCTCCTGCTAATCACTGCGACCTGCGTCCTATGATGAGCCTTGTGATTACATTTAGAGCTTACCTGACCCGTCTAGGATAACCCGCCCCACCTCTGGACCCTTAATTTAGTCACATCTGCAAAGTCCCTTTTGCCATGTAAGGTGGCATCCATAGGTTTCTGGGATGAGAACGTGGACATCTCCGGGGGGCTGTTATCCAGCCTTGGGAAGAAGGCACATACAGCACTCAGCACACTGCCTGGCTCACAGCAACACCCAGTTGTTCTTAGCTACTACTATTATGGCTTGTGTTTGTTTAGTTGTTTAGTCTTTTACAAATGACAACCCAGTTTCATATCTCATTTGATATTTGTAGCACTCCGAAGTCGGCATTATTACCCCCATTTCAGAGATGAACAATTCGAAGCTAAGAAAAGTTATGAGAATTACTGGAGCAAACACATGAGTTCCTGGTGGATTCAGGACTCGTTCTTTCTTCACCCCCCAAACCTGCGCCCCCGTTTGCCCACTGCCTCCTACTTTTGCGTCTAGTTTGTCATTCTAGTATGGATAGTCTCTGCCATCTCTACCCCAGCACCCAGAGGTAGAAACATCTGTGTAAGCCTCCTGGTGCCTCTTGTGCTATACACCTCCTTGGAGATGAACCAACAGAAAAATACAAGGCTGGGTCTGACCACATCACCCCTCCTGCTGCCCCAGTCGGATTGCTGGCCCATGCTAAGCTATGGGGACACCCTGTTAACCTCATCTCATTTACCTCCATCTACTGGGGTGCTATTGTCCCAGACTGTAGCTTCCACCTCACTGCTCTGCTCCTTTGGAGATACTTTGAGAAAATGTGCTTTTCCCCCCAAATTATCCAGGTAGTGGTTAGAGGTTTTTCCCTAAGTAAATACTCATAATTCAGCACTTTCCATCAAGTTTCAAGCTTAAGTTCAGGGTCAAATTAATTCTATACATTTCAGGACTGTCCTGGTTTCCCCCTTTTCATATCAGTACAAGCTACTGAATGGGCATTTCAGCATCAACTAGAAACAAAGCCCTTCCCCCTCCCCATGCAATTTAAAAGACAGTCTACCTACCTCCCATTTCTCTCCTGTAAAGTCATTGCCCCACCGTAAATACTGCATTTATAGCGAGTCTCACTTTGACCTGCATAGTGTCCAGCTGTTCACCAGCTGTGCCATTATTGGAGCATAAATACCTCATGAAAAGGAATCGTTTTCCATATTAAAATGATCCATTTGGACAATGCTACTCCTACCTATGGACCCCGTTTTTTCTCTCAAGTGTGAGCACTAGAAAAGGGGTATTAAACTTTTTTTCCAGGCCACTAGGGATGAGTGAAATTACTATTGTTTCCATGGTGCCCAAATAGAACCTTGGTACCCTGAAAGAGTTTGCACGTCGTCTTTCTCAGCTAAATACCAGGGTCCGGAGGCGAGACAAGGGCTCCCCAGCAATGGCTAATGCATGAGGATTCACATAATGGTCAGTGTCAGGGGTTGCAAACAACTGCCCACAGGCCACATCCCAGCTACTGCAGCCTGTTCTTGTAAAAAAAGGTTTTACCCACTCATTTCTGTGTTGTCCATGGCTGTTTTTGAATGACAATGGCTGAGTAGTTGCAGCAGAGACCATATGGCCTGCAAAGCTTAAAATATTTACTATCTGGCTTTATATATATATTTTAAAAAACCCTTTGTTGGCCCTTGGCTGCTCTAGAACTGGACCATCCTGATCCTGTCTTTGCCAGTGATTAAGTGTAACATGCTGGGCAAGTCACATAGCTGCTTAGTAAGAAGAGGGGTTAGGTTGGTGGCTTTCAAAACTTAAAAACTCAAACAAAAAACACTTTCAGGAAGGCCCCCCCCCCAGTGGCGGTTAATAGGGCTGGGCTTCAAAAGCAGGCAGTCTAAGTCCCACCTAGAAGACTGGTCCCGATGCTTCTGGAACCTGCAATGCCGTGATGGAGTCAGAGCCTGGAGAAGGCCCTGTTCAAGAGACAGGGCAGGAGAATCTGCCTTCAGTTGGGTGTGGAAGGAACTTGGGGAGTGGTTCTCAAAGTGTGGTCCCCAGAGCAGCAGTGGCAGCACC